GAACAGGAAAAATACAAAAGAAATATTCAGTATTAGTAGTTTCTTAGAAAAAATTTAATAGAAATATGACCCATTCCATAAGTAAGATTTAGTTTTTGTGGGTACATTTATTATGCTCGTTTTAGGCAGTATTACGAATGGTTTAAAGATTTTGTATGACCTTATAAAAAACTTCAATACTGATAGTCTAGAAATTTATTGACGTGAAGAGAAGATTTTAAGTCACGTCTTCTTCACAAGTTGGTAATGTGGCGACAGACATGACGTTACTTAGCTAAACTAAAAATAATGTTATTTGGTTAAATCTCCAGTCAAACTTGGTTGCTTAATTTGATCTAATAACTGATTGTTGACTTTTGCACAATGAAGAAAAGGCTTAATCGCCTTTACTCAACGGCAATTTTAACTCGCCTGTGTTTTATGAGCACTAAAAATGGCAATCGAAACCAATAGCGGGCTAATAGTGATAATAGCAACACGCTATCATTCTTTGTTTTCTTTTATAAACAGTAGATCACATATATTAGATGTATTCATCCTACTTCGTTTAATGTGATAAGAGGACTGATAGTTGAATTCTCCCACAATGATATGCATAGACCATATCTTTCAATTAAATTTCAGATAGCCTTGATTCCCAAAAATGGTGGATTGCAGTTTTAATCTCACCAAGGTCTATCCGCACTCCCAGCGGGACTCAAAATCCCGTTTATAAAACAAAAAATAACTACGGTAGTCGATTTTTATAACAAATACAACTTTGCTTCATCGAAAATTCCACCACAGAATGTGATATGGAAAAATGACTAGCCTTCCTTGAAATTCACATATTCCCTGTGACCCAATGGAACTCGTATATATTGGTATAGCTCCTAACATGTCGAGATTATATGCTGCTCTATCATGTTTCGATTCCCACTAGGGCTGCTGATGAGATATGAGCGAGGTCGAAACTGCAATCCACTCTGAATGAGAATACCTTTTGAGGAAGCAAGGCCATGCTAAATTTAATGGAAACATAAGGTCTACTCATCAGTGTGGGAAAATTAATCTATCAGTCCCCTTATCACCTTAAACAAACTGGGATAAATACATCTCATTATCTTTCTGCTTACAGGGACTGATACCGGTGGGCCACTGGACTGATGTGACTTCTGAAGCAAGCAGAGCCTCTCACAATTTATAATTATATTTTAACCAACCAAATTAGTCTATGATGGCAGAGTAGTCTACTTATTCAAGGCATACTGATCATTTCGAGACGTAGTTTTGTCCTACATAGTAATGCGGTAGATTTTAATGAAAAATATATGTCCACCTCATCGAAAATATCTGTATAAAATTGTGTATTTATAGAGATTTGACATTATTTTGAAGTCTCATCCCTTGCGGAGCATTAACGTATTGCCACTTAAAACATACGGCCCGGTTTCGAATAGCGTTATGAATAGCTATAAGATCCAAGAAAGGTCTAAACGATAGTTAATCCTGAATGAAAAGTTTTCGAGAGATAAGTCTAGATAAACTTCACTTGCGTCATATTTAATTGTGCGAAAAACAAAAATCTCTCTTTACTTCACCTTAGTCACCCTACGGTGACCCGATAGCACATTTATGTTAAACTGTTAATAAAGAGATCTACACTTTATGCGCATAAAACTAATTACTTTCATAGAACCCATGGCACAACTATGACAGTCTTAATGAAGATCCAGCACCACAAGCATCTGGAAATGATGCCCTTATTGGTTACAACGAGACGTTTACTTTGGGTCTACTGCGTGTACTATGACCTGTCTGAGGCTGTGCTACCAGTGCTGTCCAACATATGGTCCTATGTATGGTTTAGCTCTGCTCTTGGATCTAACTAGAATATAACTCAGGCTTCTTGGCCCTTCGTTTCCCACTGAAAATAACCAAGAAACACATCATATATGTCAAATATGTGTCCCATTTAGAGCAGAATAAGAAAAGAAATGTGACAGAAATGATGGATAAACAGGGTCAAAATGGTAACTAACCATAGTATTTCCATCTTTTTCCTGGCTGACCTCACAGTAGTCAGATAAAGATGCAAGAAACAGAATCGCGTGAACTCCTTCGAAGAAATGTATCCATTTCTTTCGGTATTGACTCTGCCCAGCTATGTCGATAAGTCTAAAGCAAACAGGGGTTGACGAAAAAAGAGAAATATGAACCAAAAGTTGCTTAACCTTTTATTGAAAGGCTTAATTAAAGCTTGGTTACATCAGAAAATTGGGATGATATAATGTTGAGGACCTTTTGTATTTGTGCATGATAATATGAACAAAAACGGTCTCGCTCCATGGAACCGGATTTTTGAGGGGGACAAGTGGTATTGCGTTTTATCAGCTGATTGAATCACAGTAGTTAGCTGATGATTTCAAAAGAAATTAGACTGAGGTTTCTTTAAGAATAGCGCTAAAATAGCTAGACAAAATTTTGAAAACTCCAAAAAGGAGAGAAGGTATGATTGCTTGATTCACAGTACAACTTTAGCCGAGAGGAGGACGTCATTTCAAAACTTAATGGATTTATCGAAGCCAAGCTCGTACATTAAGAAGGCTGCCATGATTAATCGTCAAAACAGGTTCCGTTTTTAAAATAAAGATGGTACGATACAAAATTCGACATTAAGTGTTTAACTAGAAAATAATGATAGATAGTCCATATTTAAGTGAAGTTTTTAGTGTATGCGTTGTGTACTCATACACACCTCACTCATATTTATAAGCATACATCTCTACATGTGTATATATGCCTTTGCGCATGTGTGCATTTATGCGCAT